GATCCAGTTAACTGGGATGTTCCATATTTGCACCCAGGTGTTCATTTCTTTGAAACAAGGATGTTCAGCTGAGATGTCTTCTTCCCAGTCTTTTAGAATAAGTGCCTGATTCTCAAAATTCCATCCAGTGCCTCGTGCTACTTTTTGTTTATCCTCCAATTCTGAGAATACAAATTGGAAATAATTAGGGCTTAGCTCCCGAACTTCTACCGAGCCCTTAATTTGCCAGATTTGATTAACCGTCCTTTTGATTCCAGCAAGATGTGCCTTCCTGTTTCCAATTAGTTTCCCCACAAGACTCTTCTTACATTCCTCAGCACTGAGTTGGACATCTTCATTTGCAATAGGAATAATATTAGCTTCCCTCGTGGATAGGTGAAAGGCCCCCATCTGATGCACAATATCCTCTTCTTCATCCATCTCCAGAGATGCAGCAGTAGTAGAAAGCAAGAAATCAAAAACCAACATCTGCACCAAGGGAACACAAAGCGAAAAGCACAGAGCGGGTAGACAAAGAAAGACACGGATTAGACACTAATACACATAAAGATGATAAATAAGCGGACTTACAATAGATTTAGACCTCAGTTGAGGTGATGATAAGCTGAAAAATCAGGGATGAAAAGCTCGCGAGGAGGAATTTAGCTCTCATAGAGAGAGGAATTTTTTTACTACATATTTTTTTTGAATCAATGGAAAATAGAACCTTTTTTTTTAACAAATGCATACATGTTATTCAATTGAGCAAAAGCAATCCATATTAAAAAATTCATTATCATATTAGTAACGAGCCCCACTTGTTTAAACTCGTGGGAGTTCAATTCAATTCGTTTAACAACCTTAAGGTAGTAGTATTGTCTTAGAATGCACATATGTGTTCAGAAAGATGTTTAGAAATTCTATAACACCACATGTGGCACTATATTATGGTGCCACAACGTGATGTGACACATTATGATTGGTGCCACAACATGATGTGTGATAATAAAAAAACCAATCATAATGTGCCACATGTGGTGCTATATAACTTCTGCAAATATGTTCGACTCAATTATTCTTTTAAAGTCTACAAAAAGTTGATGAGCTCCTCTTCGCTAATTGTTTAATTAGAAAATGCCATGTTTCAATTAAATACACAATATTATGAATAGTAACATAAACAAGGTAACATTTAAGTATGCATTTTTATCTATACAATATGATGTTCAATATGTGCTTGGCCTTTCTTACGGTATAATTAGGGCTGAGCATGAGACTCGGAGAATTCCGAATCGTTTCAAAAACCGAACCGAAATCATTCTGAACCGAAAAATAATCGTTGACGTTTGACTTTCTCCGAAGCGAACCGAGCCGAAAAAATAATTGGTACGGTTCTGGAGATTTCACAAATATTTGTACCGAGAACCGAACCGAACCGTCCCGTACTGTACCGAACCGAAGAACCAAAATTAAGAACCGAAGTATAACATTATATGTGTTATTAATATATTGTATGTCAACTTTGATTCTATATAATATAGTAATAAATATTAACTTTCACTTAAATTTCATGCTTAGTAATATTTGATCTACAATAAAATTTTTCTATTACAAAATAATTATTTAAAATATTATATGAAAGTTTAAAGAATATTTTTTTTTAAAAAAATATAATATTTTATTTGAATTTTAAATTTTTAATATAAATTGCACAAATTTAGTTATAACTAAAATTTAGAGTAACTTATAAAGTTGATTTCAAAATGAAATCGTTAATGTGAGGAAGTACTGTTGAATGTTGGTTTTATTAAAACATATAATATTAAATAACTAAAACTTAGAGTTACTTTTAGAATTGATTTCAAAATAAAATTTTCAATATGATGAATTATTGATGAATGTTGTTTTTTAAAGCATATAAAAATTGTAACTAGGTAGTCATTCAAAAATAATTTTAAAAAATAAAAATCTCCAAAGATCCGAACTAAATCATACCGAACTGAACCATCAGTCCCGTATACCGAATCGAAACGAACCGAAAAAAAATCCCTGAACCGAACCGAACCGACTTTTTGGTACGGTTCTGGAGATCAAATTTTGGGATCTCCGAAGTTTGGTACTGTTCTGGAGATTTATCAATCTCCGAACCATACCGACCCATGCTCACCTAGACATGGCCATTTGCCGGGCCGGGTCGAAACCCGGCCCGG